ACACTGAGGGTTGCGATCCGTTGCCGGACATGGAAAAAGACAAAAAAAAAAAATAATAAAATAAATAAATAAATAAATAAATAAATAAATAAATAAATATATTTATTCTGCTTGGGGTTTGCTGAGCTTCTTAGATATCAGGTTTATGGAATTCATCAAATTCTGTGATTTTCAGCCCTTATTACTACTTATATTTTTCATTTCTCATCCTCTCCCTTTTCTGTTTCTGAGACTCCAGTTACATGTATGCTAGACTGCTTTTTGTTGTCCTACAGGTCACTGAGGACCAGTTCAATTATTTTTAGTGTTTTTTCTTTCTGTGGATCTTTTTGGATAGTTTCCATTGGTAGTCTACAAGTTCATTGATCTTTTCTTCTGCAGCGTCTAGTATGCTAATAATCTCACCCAGTGTATTTTACAATTCAAAGATTCTATTTTTCATTTCTAGAGGTTTTACTTGATAGAGTCTTTTCTTCCATTTCTCTTTATAATTTCCATGTTTTCTTTTACCTTCTCAAACATGTGGAGCATATTTATAATAACTATTTTGATGACCTAGTCTGCTAATTCTATTATTTCTGTCATTCGTGGGTCTGATTATAGTGACTGATTTTACTTCCAGTTGTAGACCATCTTCTTTGCATGATTGGCAATTTTTTATTGGATGCAACACCTTGTGAATTTTACATTTTGGGATGCTAGATTTTTTTCCTAAGATGTACTTCGTGCAGCCGCAGCTAAGTTACTGGGAATTTACTAGAGCTTTTTGAGGCCGGATTTTAGGTTTTGTTAGGACTATCTAGAGAAGTCTTTAGTCTAGGGCTGATTAATGCCTGCTGCTAAGGAAATCCACTTCTGAGAACTCTACCCAATGCCCCATGTATTATGAGGTCTTTCTACTCTGCCGTGTGGGAACATGAACCATTCCCAGCCTTGTGTGAGCTTCAAGAATTGTTTGAGGGCCGGCCCGGTGGCGCACTGCTACAGTGCGCCGCTTGAGAGCGTGGTGGCGCTCCCGCCGAGGGTTCGGATCCCACATACAGACCGGTTCCCGCTCACTGGCTGAGCGAGGTGTGGGCGCAGCACCGAGGGTTGCGATCCCGTTGCCGGTCCCTGTCCGGTATGGGCACGACACTGAGGGTTGCGATCTGTTGCCGGACACGAAAAAAGACAAAAAGGGAAAAAAAAAAAAAAAAAGAATTGTTTGAACTTCTGCTTTCTAGTGCCTCTTTCCCTGGAGTTGGTTAGTAGTTTTGCCTTTCAGGCACAGGTCAGTTCTCCCCCAAAGACTGAGAGGTACCTTTCTGTGGACCTCTACAGCTCATGCCTCTCTCTGCATAGCTTCCTCCTCTCTGGAACTCTGCTTCAAAGATCCTAGCTGCCTTGTCCTTCCTGAACTCTGATATGTTTCTCCTCAACACAAGATCACTGGGCTTGGTTTGGGTTCCCATTCTTGCACTGTGGCCTGGAAATGGCCTATAGGCAGTAAGCTGGAGAAATCACGGGGCTTACCTCATTTGTTTCCTTCCTGTCAGGGATCACAGGCCTGTGCTCCCTGCAATATCTGATAATTGTTGTTTCACATATTTTATTGCCTTTCTGGTTATATATGGTGGGAGAGTAAATCCAGTTCCTGATACTCTATCATGAATGGAAGCAGAGGTGTGCAGTTTGCTTTTAAGGTCTGTTTTCATAGCAAAGACTGAATGGAGTAATTTCAAATCTGTGCCCTATATGCATAGTATTATACTAAAAGAAAAATAGACTAGGAATCAAGATCATAGTCCTAATCCTTGCTCAGCCACTTAACTCTCTGCTTCTCACAATATGGACGTCTGTGATCCTCTACCCAGATAACTTACAACAGTTTATTTGATTTCTCAATTTAATTATCATCTGCAGAAGGAGGGTTGTTAATGTTCTTTATAATACACTGCAGTGATATAAAGTGTGTGGATGCAAGAAAATACATTGATTGGCTTAGGTTGAGCTATTTTCAAACAGAAGCTAGCTTGTTGTCACTTAACAGTCTTTATTATTTACATTTATTTTAGGCACCTTACTGGACATACCTTTTATGTGCATTGGGACTCTTTATCTACCAGTCACTGGATGCTATTGATGGGAAACAAGCCAGAAGAACAAATTCTTGTTCTCCTTTAGGGGAACTTTTTGATCATGGTTGTGACTCTCTTTCCACAGGTAAATTAGTAGTGTGTGGTTTTTGTTTTTGTTTTTTGTACTGGTAGCTTAAAAATTAAAGTGAACTGAGCTGTTCAAATGGTCAGATTTTTGGGTAGTGTACTTTGGGAGCTGTTTTGCACAATGTGTTAGAAAAGCACATTCAAGAATTCATTTCGAATATACTTTATTGTAGTGCCAGGATTATGTTCCCTAAAACTCTGTATTTCTAAACAGTGCAGGGCAATTGTTTCATGAGTTATTTTTAATTTTTAATGGTTCTTAAACCTGTTTCTTTCAGTATTTATGGCAGTTGGAGCTTCAATTGCTGTTCGCTTAGGAACTCATCCTGACTGGTTGTTTTTCTGCTGTTTTATTGGGATGTTCATGTTTTATTGTGCTCATTGGCAGACTTATGTTTCAGGCGTGTTGAGATTTGGAAAGTAAGTATGTTTTTTAAGCTGTTCATTTAAAAATATAATTGAATTCATTTTCATAATCTATTATGTCATTTATTTATAGTAAGGGGACAAAGCTGTAATTGTAATTTAAATTATCTTTTAATTTATTGGAGCATCCATAAGTGCTATAACTTAATTTAAGTCTTTTAGGTATTCTGCACATTATAAATAGTTACATTATTTGATAATAATTTTATTATTCTCCCCTTGTCCTACTTACTCACTAGCTCAAGCCCTGTAATTGTAATTTAAATTATCTTTTAATTTATTGGAGCATCCATAAGTGCTATAACTTAAGTCTTTTAGGTATTCTGCACATTATAAATAGTTACATTATTTGATAATAATTTTATTATTCTCCCCTTGTCCTACTTACTCACTAGCCCAAGCTTACAGTAGACAGGAGAAAAAGAAAAATAAGGACCTGAATAATATAGAAAAAAGATATTTTGTACTTAAATAAGTAGAGTTTGACTCGTCTAATAAAATAATGTGATATGGAATCTAAGGTCCTTTTTGGTCAAGTCTTCATGTGCCTTGACAACAGTCACCAACAACAGGAAATTGTCACAACAGTCACCAACAACAGGAAATTGTGAGACTTTTGGCTGTGGTAGACAATTGGTGAGATGATGTAAAGCACCTTGTAAATGCTAGAGCTGAATACTAGAAGATATATGTTTCTGGGGCTCTTTCTTAGGCACCAGGAAATAGTGCACAAAGCAGGAACACTAATTTCTATTCCTGTTTCCCACATAGCTCCCTCTCTGCCTGATCCTTTTCTGCCATTTGCTCTTTCTTGGCTTTGGTTTCCCATGTCTGCTGATTCTTTATTGCTGCATAGGAAAAATAGTAGCTCTGAAAAAAATCTGATAATGATGAATGAGAGGAGAAGCTCAAAACTGGATTGTTTAGCAGAGGGAAGGCTTTAGGCAGTTTTTCAAATTGATCTTAAATTATGGAATAATTGTGGTTACCACCTATTGAACACTCGAATGTTTCAGGCACTGTACTAAGTACTTTACATGCATTATCTCATTTATTCCTCACATTAAGTCTATAAGGTCAGTATTATCTCCACTATACAGATGAGGCAGTGCCAATATCCACTGTACAAATGAGGCAGTACTAATATACTATCAATAAGTGGTAGAACCAGGCTTAAAACTCAAGTGTATTTGATGTCAAATCCCACATTCTTAATGTTTGCAGCTCAGTAGTATGGGATCAGCAATGTAATCGATGCTGTGTAAGGATACAAAATAAATTCAAGATATAGTCCCTGTTTTAGAAACTACATAATACACTGTATTAAAGAGATGAGATAATACTTCTGTGATACTGCTAATACAGTCCATACTAAGTATAAAATGACTTGCTTTAGGTTTCCAGAAGCATAGAAGAAATCCTAAGAGGAAAGTAACTATAAGCTAAATTAGTTTAGGAAAGCTTGTGTGGAAAATGTAACTCTTTAGCAGATTCCTTATATACTGGGTCAGGAGCCCAAGGATAAAAAAGTCTAGCTAAAAATTCAAGGCAACTATGCAAAATGAAGAATCTGTACCAATTTGTAGATTAAGATAAGCTAAAATAGAAAAGCAGCTTTGCAAAGTTTAATGTATTTTAGTTAATTTGCTGAACTTGCTATGATAAACTGGAGCAATATAACAGTACAATGTTCTGGTTAATTGTCATTATTGTTATTATTTAAAGACTAATATTCTATCCTCTTGATCCTTAATTTCATTAAAAATCTTTCTGAAATGAATATTAGTGTTGAGATTTGGAAAGTATGTTTTTTAAGTTGTTCATTTAAAAATATAATTGAATATAGTTCATATTTCTGGCACCTGTGGATAGAAATATGCCAGACAGATTGGGGAAGAGCATTCTAGGCAGAAGCATAAGGAGAGTAGTAAGAACATTAGGGAAATGGCTATTGTGATTGAGTACCAAGCCTGTACGGGAGTGAAGGAGATCCTGCAATGTTCTAGGAGGTCAGCCATTTAAATATGGCGTTTATAATAAGAAGTATAGTTTTTTCACCTTGCCAGGGTAAAATATCATGGGGTATTAAGTAGGATGGATTGATGGTGCTGCCAAATACTACAAGAAGTAGGCCATCAACCAACCCTCTGGAAATGCTTACAAACTGAGCCTGTGTCAATTTTCTATTGTCTAGGTTGGATTTTCTGAAAATCTATCAGTTTTTTAGCTTAATTTTTATAGTATTTATAGTATTTGAATACTGATATATGAAACAATCTCAGAATATACTTTGGAAATTTGTTTCATGAATGCATTCTTGATTTAATCCTTTTTTATGGGTTTCCGTTTTTTTTAAAAGATGGAAGAAAAATCATGCCAAATCAGCATAATTGGGCTAACAAATTTAGGTTTAACTAGTATTGCTATTTTTTTGCAACATAATTTTTTTCTAATTTTCAGAGCTCTTTAAATCATTTATTAGTATGATTCTGATTTAAGTATAATAGTTAAAAACACAGACTTGAAATCAGACTGGGTAGAATCAATTCTGGCTTCAATATATCAGTTATTTGACCAGAAATATGCTATTCTCTTTTTCTTAAGTATCTTCATCTGTAAAATGGATCATTGTCATAATTTTCTTAAAAGATTATTGTGAAGATTAAATGATAATGCATGTAAAGGACTTAATACAGAATCTGAACATGGAAGTACTCAATAATAAAGTTAGCATTATTATTCCATGCTATTTTTATTTTAATTCAATTTCTTTTGTATGTTTACTTTCTCATGAGTGACATTAAAAAGTAATTCTTACTAAAAAAAACCCCAGATATCTTATGTATTAATCAGTCAGTTAGTAACTGATGTCATAAGGAAATAAGCACACAGAAGAAACTGAGATAAAATTTGAGGATGGGAGGTCAACATAATTTATTGAGTGATTTTATTGAATATTGATGCAATATTTATACAAGGAATTTGAGTGTTTTTGCAATATTTGTACAAATGTTTATTGAGCATCCATTACATGCCAGGTCCTGTTCTAAATGCTAAGATGATAAGAGTAAACAAAACAGACAAAATCCCTGCCCCCATAGAGCTTACATTCTAATATGGGAAACACAATAAAAACAAGCTAAATAGGTAGACACTGCATATAATACATTAGATGATGATATGTGCTTTGTCTCAAGAACTGTAAAGGGTCTGGGATTTTACCCCACTTACAAACTACCAAGCAAGACTGTTGTTTCATTGATGCTGGCAAAAGACACAAAGCTTCTGGGTCAGAGGCAGAGGACAACTGCAAAAGCAGTAGCCAGTTCATGTTTATGCCAGGTTCCCATCCCCCTCCACCCCACCTATGGGGACCATACAGGTGGGCCTACATGAATGCCTGCACATGCAGTGGGTTGCATTATGGGGGAGGAACACTGAGGAATCTGTCCAATTTTGAGCAAGTGGAAGCAAGCCTGCTCTTTGTCTGGGGGAGATGTAACCTCATCCTTGAAAGTTGCTCAGTGCATACATAATCCTCAGAAATGACTGAGAAAAGAGTATTCAGGATCTTTCATTCTTGGCACATCTAGCAAGAACATGAAGGAATGCTCAGGGTCCATGGCAGATTGCCTCTCCTAATTGTATGAAGAAGTAAGCGGGACGGAAGAGTGGCTATTTAAGTATTATTCTATTTTCCTTATGAACATAAAAATACCATTCTATACCGTTTCATAGAACAGAAATACTATTCTATTTTACTTATGCATATTTTAATTGTCATGTTTTATCTCTTAAATAATATGTAGATTTCAGTACAGATACAAATTTGTTATCTTGAATTACATCATTTAAACCATAAAATATTAGTAACTATTTTTAATTATAATTTTCAACTGTTAGTTGATGTAATGCAGTTTATGTAGTTAATGTAAATTTAGTTTATCAGTGATATGTTAGTATTTTTCTTAGCACGGTTAGTAGAAAAATTTACAGTTAAAATCTGTCCCTGTACTAATGCTTGTCATGTGAGAGAAGGCATGTCTTATTTACAGTATATTTGCTCACAAGTGTCAAGGGTCTTATGTAATTAATAGAGCAAACAATGCTTAAAACTTAGTTTTTTAAATCTAAATCAAGTATTGTAAGTTCAAGTCCAGGTTAACTCGTATTATGTGGTATAGTGTCAAGGGTCTTATGTAATTAATAGAGCAAACAATGCTTAAAACTTAATTTTTTAAATCTAAATCAAGTATTGTAAGTTCAAGTCCAGGTTAACTCGTATTATGTGGTATTTTGTTATTTACATGTGAATATTTAGGCTCAGTGTTAATTTTCCTTTCTTTCAAAAACATGAGAATTTCCATATGGTATTAGATCCATTTCACAAACTGTGTATCAGTTCCTCTCCCCCCATTCATCTTGGACTAATAACATGCAATTAAAAAATTAAAAATAGACTTACAAAATACAGTCCCCATTATTTCATTTGATTAGATACATACAATATTACTCTGTCAAAATTGCCATAAAAGTTTCTAATGCTACTCTCAATTTCTGTACTTATCTCATTGTGGACTGGTAACAAACTCTGTACCACATATTGAATAGCACTGTTACAGATTGCCCTCCATGATAACAGCCTGGGGAGTTAATATCCCCAATATTCATCCTTCCTGCATTTTTTTTTTTTTTTTGTCTTTTGTCTTTTTCCGTGTCCGGCAACGGATCGCAACCCTCAGTGTTGCCCCCGTACCGGACCGGGGACCGGCAACGGGATCGCAACCCTCGGTGTTGCTCCCGCGCCTCGCTCAGCCAGTGAGCGAGAACCGGTCTGTATGTGGGATCCGAACCCTCGGGTGGGAGCGCCACCGCGCTTCCCAAGCGGCGCACTATCCAGTGCGCCACCGGGCCGGCCCCTTCCTGCATTTTTAAAGCCTTTTTGGATCCAGTTTTTAAAAACTTGGACCCGTTAGTGAGTTCTCTGGGTTTATGAATTGTTATACAGAATATCCTATTGTTTGTCTGATTATCTTTCAAGCTTCAACTGTCTCTTTAATAGTTCAGATATTTGAGGGTTTGGTGAGTGATTCCAACCTTTTCTTCCCATAAACTTCATAACTAATAGATTTTTATAAGATCCTTTCAGCTTTCTTTTATCCAGAGTCAAGAATTGTAATCTATTTAGTTTATCCTTGAAAGGCACAGAGGGAGAATAAAACTACAAATATAATTTAAAATCTGTGGTATGAATGATGCATATGTGAAACCAGGTTCCTAGCTCAATTTTCCTTACATGTCATTTAGTTTCACCTAGAGAAAGTTTGTTCCATAATCCCTATCTGCTTTCCTAGTTGCTTCTGGTCACTAATCATACCCTGTAAAAATGATGGATAACAATGTAATTCTATCAGTTACTGGAAAAAGAATGCACAGTGATAATGAGTCATAACTGTAGTAAAAAGATGTTGGCTCTGAAGTCATTTTCCTATAGTAAAATTCAGTTGTTCCAATACAGGCATTGAAAAATCATTTTAATTTCCCTCTCTAAAAAACAGGAATAATTAATTGCTCATAAGACACATAACAGATGCTCAGTAAATGTTTGTACATTTCCCTCTTTTCCTCCACGAAGTACCAAACATTATATTAAGTTTACCTTCTTCAACTAACTTGACTATTTCTCCAGGTAGCCTGAAGGCCTTGGTTTGCATGACACTGACTGATCTTACAAATACTTGGTGTCATTATTCCTATTTGTGGGCTAAAGTTCAGTTCACCTTTTCCTTTTAAGTGCCACCGAAAATAACTCAGTCTAGAAGTCTTTTCTTCCATATTTGGTTTTATTTTATCATCTAATCCCTACATTTCTTATATTTGCAAAAGTAATATGTGTTCCTCTAGCATTTAAAGACTCTGGGGGATCCAAGTGGAGATGTAAAGTTGGTAGACAGATATAAAAATCTGGAGCTCAGGAAAAAATATGTAGATGGGAGATATGGATTTAGAGGCCATCAGCATATAGATGGTAGTCTTAAGTATAAGTAAAATTGTTCACAGAATATAAAATTCCAGATGGAATTCTGGAGACAGCATTTAATATATTAGGGAAGAATAATTCTAGGAAGGAGCCTGAGAAGAGCTTCAGCAAGTTAGGAAAATTAGGAGAGAGCATGAAATAAATAAAAACATAGCAGGGCCGGTGCTGAGGCTCACTCGGGAGAGCGCGGCGCTGGTAGCGCTGAGGCCGCGGGTTCGGATCCTATATAGGGATGGCCGGTGCGCTCACTGGCTGAGCGTGGTGCAGACGATCCCCTTACCCATCAAAAAAAAAAAAAGAAAACATAGTGAAGCATGTCATGAAAGAGAGAATGATCAGCGTCTTAAATATCACAAAGAAATTATGCAAGGTTATTACTGAAATGTATCCCTTCGATTTTACAAATTGAAAGTCACTGTTTACCTTAAACAATTTTAGCAGGATAATGGGGCCAAAAGTCAGACTACAATGGGTTAAGCAGCAAATATGAAGAGAGGAAGAAATTTCAAATGTAGACTAATTTTTAATCAGCCTGTTCATGTAGCTTCAGGAGTGTGCAGAATAAAGGGACTGATGTTGGTTGGTTAGTGGTTTTTTGAGAGAAATTTAAACATGTTTATATATTAGGTGAAAAAAAATGTCTGTGGAAACCAATAAATTATAGTGACTATTAGCAATTTAATAAAGAAGGCTGTTGGAATTTTCCGTACTTTTTAAGTGAAATTGACTTAGGGGTGTTTAAGAATTTGCCTTAGATCATATGGTTGTTTTTATATTACTGTATTTTTTTTTGTAATTTACAAGAGTAATAGACAATTGTAAAAAAAATTCCAACTTTATAGAAGTACATAAAGTAGAAAATAAGTCTTCTGTAATCTCAGTGATAACTATTAACAACTTGATATATTCTATACAAGTTTTTTCCCTCTGCATATACTAAAGTTTACCTACATGTGAGCACATGTTATCCTGTAGCCTTTTTCACTTAACAATGTAATAAGTTGGTAATTCAGTGATGGAAGTAAAGGTAAAAATAAACGAGGCCTACAGAGATTTTTACATCTTTGGTATTTAAAATATGATTAACCTCTATATTCAGAAATTTTGTTAACACACACCTTATCCATTCTGTCCTTCCTCTTTAGAGTGGATGTAACTGAAGTTCAGATAGCTTTGGTGATTGTCTTTGCATTGTCTGCATTTGGAGGTTCAACAGTGTGGGACTATATGGTAAATCTGAATATTTAAACTTATATTTAAGTACTTATAAAATATTTAGGAAAAAATATTGCATTGTTAATTTTCTTCAAAAATCTTCGGCATCATATTTAATATTCATTCCACTTCTTAACCTTTTTCCTTCATTTTGTAATGTTGTTATCCTATATACCTTGTTTTGACATTTTCTCCTATGCGTGAATATATTACCATATATAAGAACATGACCCCATTTCCCTACTACAAAATACACACACACATACATGCACACACATACACACTGGAATTAACTTTTCCAGGTCAAAATTTATCTCATAAAATTAATATTTAAAAAATAAATCCAGTAAAATATTTTTCATTTGAAACCAGTCCCTCTATTAAGGAAAGAAAAGTGGCTAATTTGCAATTTTATAATTTACTTTGAGGTGAAGATGCCCATATTAAGGAGTGTTCTGGTTTTCTGTTTGGTTGGTGACCTCAGTATTTTGATAAAAATTGCCTCTTAGGAGGCCACTGTCATAAATCCAAGCTTTGCAGAGGAAGAAAATTTATGAATAAATAAATTATTCTGTCGCCACAACCTAAGTCCACAGCACTGGCTAACTGATTCAACTTTATGCTTATAGTGTTAAGAATAATAATACGGATAATATCAATAGCCAGTAACTAACATTCACTCAACACTTACTATGTTCCTAAACATTTTACCATTAGTTTCATCTGCTCATCAGAACAATCCTATGAAATAGATACTATCATTATTCTGTTTTATAAATAAATCTTAGAATGATTAAGTAATTTGTCCAAGGACACACGGGAAGTAAGTAGTGGAGCTAGGAATTAAGAAGACTGATTCCAGACTATATGTTTGTAATCACTAAATTATATACAGCTGGTAAAAATATTAAGAGATACAAAACTAAACCTACTCTTAACCATATATGATCCAGCAGTCTTACTCCTTGATATTTACCCAAATGAACTGAATACTCATTTGTCCACACAAAAACCTGCACACCAATGTTGATAGCAGCTTTATTCATATTGCCCAAACTTGGAAGCAACCAAGATGTTCTTCAGTAGGTGAATGGATAAATTATGGTATATCCAGTCAAGGAAATATTATTTAGTGCCTTTCTGGAAAAGGCAAAACTATGTGGTTGTCAGGGGATGGGGGAGGGAAAGATGAACAGGTGGAGCACAGAGGATTTTTAGGGTAGTGAAATTATTTTGTATACAATGGTGGATACATGTCATTATATATTTGTCATAACAGATAGAATGTATAACGCCAAGATTGAACCCTAATGTAAACTGTGAACTTTGGGTGATAATAAAGTATCAATGTAAATTCATCAGTTGTAACAAAAGTACCATCCTGGTGTGGGATGTTGATAGTGGGGGAGGTTGTGCATAGGGAAGGGGTGGAGACAGGAGGTATATGGGAATTCTTTGTACTTTCCACTCAATTTTGCCATGAACCTAAAACTGTTCTAATATGCATAATCAATTAAAAAAAATAGTAAATTATTTCCCTGTGGCTTTTAGTATCAGAATTGCCAATTACCATTCATATCAGCAGGCTCAGAAACAGACTTTGAGCGTATTTTTAAGTAGTGGTACATTCCATTAGACATTCATATTCCCTCTCATCATGTAAGAACAAACAGTAGAATCAAAGATATGCTACTGTAGGTCCACTCAGTACACCACAGGGATGTTATGTGTGTTTTATGGTAGTTGTTCAGTTAGTAAGTACCTAAAAGAAGATGAATGTGGACCTAGAAACAGTTAGGCAACTTCAGTCATTTAGTCAGTTATGACTGACTTAAATTTGGAATTGAATCTTAAAATTGTTTCATTCAATATTTCGGCAAGAAGAAAACATATCTGCTTATTCTTACCAACAAGGATACTTATTTTTGATGTAGGTTTTCTAAATTTAATTGTTAACCTGTAGTTTCCACAAATTTTGGTGCAATATTTCAAAGTCTATTTTCAAAACACAAAAGCCTACAGCTTCTGGCAAATTCATTGTTACTGTTTTTTAAATCCTTTGCTGCCTTTGGAAGTTTTCTTGAACAGCAATTGACTAACAGGTAAATATATTGCTAGAGATTTAATCCTGGAATATTAACTACACAAATTTTTTGCATGTACACAATCATATTTGTCATACTTATGATGCAGACCATGGTGTCTGCCTTTCCTATACATGCTGCCTTTTAGAGGCTACCAAATTCAAATGAACTATCCTTTTTCATATATAAGTCAGGTGAAGGCTTGTGAGATTAAGTTTTAATTACAGTTATGTACATAGACTAAGCTGATTTGGTGGACTCATTTTTCACTTAATGAATGTCAAAAAAAGTTACCACTTCAGGCTACATTCCAAAAGTTAAGGTTTGATTACAAGAAAAAGGATAGCTTATTGTATAGGGCCATTAAAGTTACCACTTAATGAATGTCAGAAAAAGTTACCACTTTGGGCTACATTCCAGAAGTTAAGGTTTGATTGCAAGAAAAAGGATATAGCTTATTGTACAGGGCCATATTATAATGTTTCTTTACTATTTAATAGGAAAAGAAATTCTGTCTTTTTTTTAATAATTTGTTTCTTTCCTCTACCCCTAAAGATACCCATCTTAGAAATAAAATTGAAGATCTTTCCAGTTCTTGGAATAGTAGGTGGAGCAATATTTTCCTGTTCAAATTATTTCCATGTTATCCTCCATGGTGGCGTTGGCAAGAATGGATCCACTATAGCAGTAAGGCATTAATTTCATCATCACTCAGTATTATTCTGATAGATATTCTTATCACCAGCTATAAAAAAAAACCTAAAAATATGCCAAAGTTCAAGAATGGGGAAGGAAACTAAGTATCTTTAAAAATTCGTGTTAGGCATAGTACAAAAGCATTTTTTAAAGTTTAGACTTATGATAAAAGTACTTTTCCTTTTTCTACAGGCTTACTCTGTGTAGGCCTTTCTATTTCACTTAGTCATCCACTGTTAGGTTAATGTACGTAATTAAGAGTTGCCTTTTGCTTTCTTGCATTTTGTGCCTTGAACTAAAAGAGGAGAGGAAGAAAGGTAGGAAATGAGTTCCTGACTGAATGGCAGGAAAGCTGCCTGAGATCAGTGATTTCACATATGAGGCAAGTTATTACTCATGAAGTAAATTTTATTGAAATTTCACTGAAATATACTTAAAAGAACTATTCTAATATTTTAAAATGTAAAATTTTAAATCTTAAGTTGAGAGGATATACCTTGTGTTTGTGTTCCTTACATCTCGCTCATGCTATAATTTTTGTATTTATTCATATTTGTTTTTTTAAAACTTCTTCAATACTTTTAAGTGGGAAAGAGTTGAATTCCTGCCAAGTTTTTTAACAAATATAACACCTACGTTCTTAAAAAGTCTATTGTCATCTTCAAGGTAGTTGAACATAGGAAGATAAGTACTTACTCTAGTGGTGCCATCTTTTATTAAAACATTGTTAGAATGCCTATTTTAGGATTGCTTTATGTTATAACCCATTCTAATTTCTTTGGTTCTACAGTTCAAAATTTCTAAGCTTTAAGGGTGGATTTGATTTAGGGGAACAATTAAAAGCCATTTGGAGCCAGGTCTAACAAATAAGAGTAGTAGTAAACAGGAGATACAGCACTTTTGGTAAAAGACAAAACAACAACAACAAAAAAACCCAAATTTTCATTCTCTTAAATAACTTGTAAATTGGCTCTTAAGACAATTCCAAAGTAGTCCCCATAATTCATAAGTTATCAATCTTTATGAACACATTTTATACACTAATTCAAAAGCAAAGCATAAAATTAATTTAGACATATAAGTTCTGATATATTTGGAAAAATTATTTCTCGAAGTGTTTTGTTAGTTGAATTCAGAACAGTACTGTGCATAGGTGCTTGGGAATATACGTTGCTTGAACATGGATGGTAAAATAAGATTTAGTAAGGATCAATGTCCACTTTAGAGAATATCTTACTAAGAAATAATTGATTATTAAATGCTTGAAGGATGACTAAAGAAATCAAATATAAGCTAGAAAGTGGATGATTTCAAACTCTTAAACTGGTGGTATTCTAACTTCCTTAGCAAATCTGCTAAGAACCATAGTGTATAAACAGATAAATTGCTGTTAGTCTAAATTTTTATAATTTATTACTATATAGCAGTTTTATTGCGTACATAATTTTTTAGCCTTAGCAAATCTGCTAAGAACCATAGTGTATAAACAGATAAATTGCTATTAGTCTAAATTTTTATAATTTATTACTATATAGCAGTTTTATTGCGTACATAATTTTTTAGTATTTATATTATTACTGTAATTTTGTAGTAAGTTCTAACTTAAGACATAAATATAAACAAGAGCAAGGCTGTTTTAACAAGCACATTTAAATTGGTGGTTATAGATTTTTTTAAACCTTAATACCCAATTTATTTCAGTATTTTCTTTAGGATAATCAGTGCTGAGAGAATCCTGATTCACAAAGATAAAAACGTAATGGCCTGGATTGTACAATTTTATATAAGAGGACATTTGCAGTCTGAATGCAGAAAGGGATGGGGGGGGGGCAAGGGAGACGGTATTGGTATAGAGGTAAACCAGGGCAGAATTATACTCTTCCTAATCAGTGATTAAGATACTTTGTAGAACTGGCAGGATAAGCTTTATTTCAGTATCTCCACAAAAATATGTTAATTTGGCAATCCAATTGTTGATGGCCTTCAGCATAGTAAAAGTTGACATAGAATAAATTGCATTAATTTTTAGCTGGTTATTAGTTTAAAGCATGTATGTGTGCATAAAATTGGAGTCAAACATCCATGTCACTGTATTGTCTGTGTAACCCTAGGGTTCTGTGAAAGTTTGAAAAACACAGCTAAGGTTTGTATACTTCTTTAGACCATATGCTGTATCATCCTCTTCTTTAGGTCTCTAATTCATCACAAAACGGATGCTCAGAAAATATTTGCATTGTAATAAATGCAGCGTTAAAATATGATACTGATTTTCTGCTTTGTCTCTTAGGGCACCAGTGTCTTGTCACCTGGACTCCACATAGGACTAATTATTATACTGGCAGTAATGATTTATAAAAAGTCAGCAACTAATATGTTTGAAAAGCACCCTTGCCTTTATACCCTGATGTTTGGGTGTGTCTTTGCTAAAGTCACACAAAAATTAGTGGTAAGAAATTCTTCTATGATTCATGTACAAATAATGTATTTAGTCTTCAAACACAAAGCTGCAAATTATTTCATACCAAGCATAGGTTTTCTTTTGTGGTGACAGCATCACAATAAATGATTAGCAGTTTATGCTCCAAGTACAACATGTGTTAATGTTATATTCAGTTCTTTCAATTATTTGTTTAGCTGTAATGATCAATTACACCTTTCTGATATCAAAGAATTTAAACATTGGGAACTTTAATAAACTCCCCAGTCATGAATTTGAGAAGGCTTAAATAAGTATCCCCATATCAAATGTGAGATTAAATGGTCCCTTTGTCTTAATGGTGAATTAAAGTTATAATTAATTCTGACCTGAAAATAAAAGCTTAAATATTTAAAATTTAATAGTGAAATTATTTTGTTTACTTTTTTATAGATAGCTCACATGACCAAAAGTGAACTGTATCTTCAAGACACTGTCTTTTTTGGGCCAGGTCTTTTGTTTTTAGACCAGTATTTTAATAATTTTGTAGATGAATATATTGTTCTATGGATAGCAATGGTAAGTACTTTCTGCTTTATGCTTTTCATTTTTTAACAAATGTTAGATCACACTATGCTTAAGAATCATTTCAGTGAGATAGCAGTAGCCTCAATGTCTAGTCCATATAGTAAATGTTTCTGAATATTTAAAATTACTTCTTTTAAGCTGTGGATCATTTTATATTGTGTGTAGAAATGGCCAACATATTTGGAGGTCAGGCTTCCAACAGTCTAGATCCTTGGAAATGCAAGTGTACCTAAAAATAACTGTATCTTTCTCCCCCAAAAATTCAGTACAAAGATGTCAAAAACCACTTCACTCTGCCCAAAGGACTTTCTAACTTAAGTAAGTTTATTAAAATTATTCCCAGCTTACATCAGGTAACAGGCAAATTAGATGGGGTTAGTGCTAGCAAAGTGATGCAGTTATTGCATCAAGAACTGTCAGCTAGGGCTGGCCGGTTAGTTCAGTTGGCTATAGCTGGGTTTTATAACAAGGTCAAGGATTTGGAGCCCCTTACTAGCCGGCTACCAAAAAAAAAAACAAAAAAAACTCAACAACCAAAAAAACTGTCAGCAAATATTGAGAAAACAACAGAACAGACAGTACTAAGTACAGGATTCTGAGACCATTTTATGCTAGAAGTAAGCAACCCTATAGTCTGTATGGCCCTTGAGGACAGCGCATAAATTGTATTAATAATGACAACTTGGTCATCAAGCAAAGGTTAAATTCTCATTGATTATACCCTGTTTAAGAAAGGGATGTGGATAATACATATATTTCTATTCAAAATGATTAGAAATTATTACTGATAACACTTCAATTACATAATTGGGTAAATGAAGCATTATTAAATTTTTATATTATTGAGATATATCTTTATGGTTGGTCTTCAGTAATGGTGGTTTTGAATAGTTTTGCTATATTTTTCCCTATCTCTAGACCTCACTGGCCTTTACCAAATTGTTAGTGATAAACATATCGAAGTGTGCTTAAAAAAAAAAAAAAATAAATAACCCTGCAGTGAAACTTTTGATAATTCAAATAATTTTACCATATGTTAGACTTAGGTATTTAGAAAATCTATGTGTTCTGTGCACGGACCACTGGACCCCTGACTGGGGTACATCTGATGATCCTTCACTAGGTTGTATAGTGTACTTTTTCTGAAGTAAATTAATAACTTGATATTTTTTCATACTCCATTCAAGTCTTCCATTCTTCCTATGGTGGTGAGATGTAATTCTTAATCCTTTGAGGTTGGACAATGAAAGTTTTCAGGCAACATTCTAAAAAGTGTTTGAAAATCAGAATAATTGCCTTTAATTGCTATCTACTATACATATTTTTAAGGCTCTAAAACAATCCAAATTTAAGAAATAGGAGGTGATTATTCAAAATTTCTGAAAACTCAATGTATGTTTTCTTTTAGTGGATTTAGGTATGTATTACCAAATAAAATTGCTTAACATAATTAAAATATCAGATGTTTAAAAGTCAATCACCTATTTTGTAATGAGTAGTTGAACTGGTTTACACCACTGATGGAGACTGGTGAACCGAGGAAGTTAATTTTTCTTTAGAACACTATTAAGATGACAATTAAAAAGAAAACAACACACAATGTAGGCCAAACAAAACATATGTGCCCTATGGCATCCCTAGAGAAAAGCTGCCTGTTTCAGAGAGAAAAGGGCCTGATGGAGCCTTCCAAATAAATGAATAGAGATTTTTCCTTCATGAGCGAGAATTCTCTCTCCAAAGATGGAGGCTCCTTTTTCTCCTGGGCTTCATTTTCTTTTTTTTTTTTTTTTCCTTTTTGTCTTTTTTCGTGACTGGCAATGGATCACAACCCTCAGTGTTGCGCCCATACCAGGCCGGGACCAGCAACAGGATTGCAACCCTCGGTGTTGCGCCCTCACCTCGTTCAGCCAGTGAACGGGAACCGGTCTGTATGTGGGATCCGAACCCTCGGTGGGAGCGCTGCACTGTAGCAGTGCGCCACCAGGCCAGCCCGATTTTCTGAAGAAAAGCATTTTACTGTGGTCTCTGGGCACAGTCTCCATAGAGAGGCCTTCCTCCTTAATTTTGTATACAACACAATTTTGTACAAGGGTACTTTAAAAAAAGTTCATGGAATAGAGTTAAAATATGAATCTTTCCATGAACTTTTTTTTTTCCCATGAACTTCTTGAAGACCCATTATATATGCCTCCCCTCAACTATGGTGTCTTTTCGAGATCTTTTACCTTCTTACAACTAACCCCAAAGGAATAGGAAATGTATCTGATGGAATGAGTTCATTATAAGATAATAACTGATAACCCCTTCTAAAATTGCAAAATAACCTGCATATTCCAGAGGACTATGGTGAGGTCCAAATATGAAATATATTAAAGTAAAGGTAATATTTTTGGTGAAGAATTTCAGGTTAAAGTTTGAGATTTGGGGGGAAACAAAAAATAGCTACTTCAGAAAAGATAGACCATAATACATTTTATGTTTTCTTCTTTGCTTCTAAAGGTCATTTCTTCATTTGATATGATGATATACTTTAGTGCTTTGTGCCTGCAAATTTCAAGACACTTTCATCTAAATATCTTCAAGATTTCATGTCATCAAGCACCTGAACAGGTTCACAAGTATATTGACTGACTAAATAGCCCAAGGAAAAGAGGAGAAGCAGTTAGGGGAACCTATGAGTGAAGGAAATCCCCTTATGCAGGAGGCTAGTATACTATCAAATAAGGTTATATTTGAATATAAAACATAAATCCTGCAGATTCCATATGTCTCTTTCAGTTATGAAGCCTTCATTGTGTATCATCAACATTTTTCATCACAGGTATTATCAGAGTAATAAAATCTGTAAATTAATTAGAAACAAGACTAAAGAAAGAAATTTTAATCTTGAATATAAGAATGTGAACCCATGTAGTTCTAAATAGTAATCTCTGTCTCTGAGAAATACTTATCAGACACTTTGCGTTTTCAGTGCCAAAGGATTACATAAAAATTCAGAACTTGAAGGATTTTAGCCATTTTGGTGGTAATGCTTACTTTGATTGCTAAAAATTGAAATGTGAACTCGTAATACTATATAAGCATATGGCTTATAATACTGTAATTTTTTTTTTAATACTAGCCATTTTTCAAAAGAGGTATGTTCGTTATTATGGTACAAAGGAAGTTTTTGCTTTAGTATGCCAACTAGAATTTAAAATGGCTACAGGAATTTTTTATAAGCCACATTTAGTAAAAGGAACTTGTACCAGTTCATACATAAGAATCCTTACATTGAGAGTGACTTGTTCCTTGATGTTCTGAGATAAAATTTCATTGTCACAAAAAGTGGACATTAAATGCTCCCTTTTATAAAAAATAAAACAGTAGCTGAAACAGTTAACATGTAAGAAAATTAATAACATATAAACACAGTAAAAATATCTTCCCTTTAGAATATCAACCAAAGTTACTTCAAGTACACATTGACTCATCTGGGGTGATAAAGGGATAAAATAAGTATTAGTTATTCAACCATTAAGCATATTAGGTACTGATTCTTATCATTCCATATCAAAATGTATTTAGATTGCTCATTACAAATACTAGAACTTCACAAAGATCTTTGGGGATCCAATTTTTTAGACTCCCATCTGACTCTCTTTAATTTTATACAACAGTTCTGTAGACCATATGCCACATAATGAAATAATAAGAAAAATAAAGGAGTAATGAACATATACTATATCTATCCTAAGCAAAAAAAAGACATTGAAAAAAACAGTGGAAGTTGATATTCCTTAAAAGGAAAAAATATATATTTATGTGAGTTAAGTACACAGAAAACACTCTGGAGTACTTATTTTGCCTCTGTAACTATTGGTAAAACTTCTCAAGTAAGGATCTTCTTAGAGTTTGGAATAGTACTTAAGATTTATATTCCAACATATACTTTAGTTTCAAGGGAAAATCATTTACAAAGTAAGTTCAACAATTTAGAAAGCTCAACTGTCCTCTTCATGGAGGCTGATTTCTTCCTGTGTAAGTTATCATAGTTGGAAAAACAGAATCTGTATGGACTAGTTTTTAAAAACTTGGAAATCTTAAAACTAAGATAAGTGTTGGTTATAGAGGTAAAAATTAGAATCTAAGGAGAAAATTGCTCCTCTCCTCCTAATGGGCATATTTTGTTTTGAATGATTCATTGAAAGGAATTTCAGCAAAATACTAAAAAAACAGTAAAAAATAATAGTAAAAAAATTAATAATAGTAAAAAAAATTAATAGTAAAAAAACAGTAAAAAAAACCCCTCAAAAAATAGTAAGTTTAACTGACTTATTTCGTATTTTGTTTTGAATGATTCATTGAAAGGAATTTCAGCAAAATACTAAAAAAACAGTAAAAAATAATAGTAAAAAAATTAATAGTAGTAAAAAAAAATAATAGTAAAAAAACAGTAAAAAAAACCCCTCAAAAAATAGTAAGTTTAACTGACTTATTTCAAATAAATGTGGAACAATTTAATATCAATTAAATCAAGTGTTTCAAGTGTTATTTTCATACATAAAAATACATACTTCAAAAGACAAGGTATAAAAATTAACTGTTCAAGCTTGGAAATGAATGTAAAATCAAACTTCCATATGTTTTCTGAATATTAATATTGAAGAAACATTCTAGGTAATTTATCTTTAAAGACAGATGTGATGTACTTAAACCGTAAGTAATTAGGTATGTTAACGATATACTCTTACTGCAAAGAGCATGTGTCATTTAATTGCAAACCAAGTCCAATTAAATGACATTTTGAAATCTCCGTGGAAATGACATATTCACAAATCCATGTCTTAAGTAATATTTATGTATCAGTTATATATATTTACATATCTTTTTCACTTGTATTAATTATTTTAGCAGTTTAATTTACTCTAAAACACAAACTTAAATTCCTTTTAATAAATTTTAAAAATCAGTACATTTTCTTTGGAATTTTTATTTTCATTAGAATTGGCTCAGTGACTTAATAAGTATATAGGAAAGAATGTACAGGTAAAATAGATTTTGTGTTTTTTTTAATTTACGAACAATGTAATCTTCTATATTTGTGATTTCTTACATTTTGGGACTGATACAGATACACTGAAGCCAAGCCTAAAATTAAATCATCTTTATTGCTGAATGTTAATTGACAGCGTTAGAGAGAAAAATTCACTCTTACTACTAAAGAGCTGAAAGGTTGATACATAAATTTGAAATAGCTGCTGTTCACATAACTGTTTAGATTTTATTTGGAAGTTAACAGAAAGAAGGTTCTAGCAATGAAACAAGCTAATGATTAAAAATGTTATAATGTAAACTAGAATTTCAAAACCATTCTAATGATTTACATGCCTCTTAGCTAATGTTATAATTGTTATACTATTTAGGTTCAAGTTCTTTCTTCAAAGAGTCATCAGAATAACATGGATTGAAGAGACTTTCGAACACTCGCCATCTCTTGCTGCTGCTGTTTCATGAAACGAGATATTAAACATTTGTTTAATTTTTAAAGTGTTATAAATATTTCAGCAAATAAAATACTTCAGTGCTTATATTAATCCTTATTATTTTCAATTTAAAATATAATAACTCACGGTTTCCATCATAATTTGTTTTTGCAACATAGCCATTTCTTTTTTAAGTTCATTTTGTGCACCAGTAAGTAGATTATCATGATTCTTCTCCAAATCCTCCATGCTCTAAAACACAAAAGTGTAGTTCAGTTACAAACCACCACTTTTCATCTCAGGTTCTAAACCTGTACAATTAATTTTCAAAAATAAGAACATTTTAATATTCAAATAATTCTTATTATTTATTCCAAATAAAAAATATTCTGAGTAATACATGAAGACCAAAATACCTACTATCAAGGAACAAAACATGTCAGACATGAATCAAGTATTATTATGGTAGGTATAACAGTTGTATCCTTTGCTCAAAACTATGGATTAATGAACTGTTAAGCTCAAGATGGCATTAAAAAAAGAAAAAGACTGGAAGTCCCATGTCAATAAATACCATAATTTTGAAAATTTCTAATAAGCTTTCCATACATCAGGTAATAATCTACTTATTACAACTAATAATCAACGTGACATGAATTCACTAGAAGGAATAAAATGATATATATTATGACCTCTTTCATCAAGTTATGAAAAACAAAAATTACGTTTTAAATCTTTACTGTCCATTCAACAAATAGTTATCCTAGTGCCTACTATGTAAAAAGTACTATGTTAAGTGCTGTGGAGAAATTAAAAAATAATAACACATGACTGTTCCCTTATTCCAGTGAGAAGAAACATATAAACAAAAATTACACAAAAACTTTACAGTAGAAATAGAAACCCAACTTACTGTGGCTATGTACTGGAAAATGGGGATTAATTCCAATTTAGTTGACAAAAGAATAAGATTTCAACAAATTAAAAAAGAGTAAAAAGTATTCTAGGGGAAGAGCAAAAGCATGGAAGTATATAGTGAGTTCACAGAATGCAATTTTATGTGGAGGGGTGGAAGTATTGGACGAATGTAGTAAATAAAGCTTAAAAAGAAGGTCATGTCATGACAGGATCTTGAATACCTAAGAATTTAGAATGAGAAGCTACTGACAGTTTTCAGGAGGGAAGAGCTGTATTTCTGAAAGATATATTTTAGAAGAGATATATTCAGACCTATGAAGGATGGATTGGAGAAGAGAGAAATCAGTTAAAAGTTTTAACAGTACAAGCAAAGAATGATGAGATCCTGAACTAGGGCAGTAGCAAGTGGGAATTAAAAAGAAATAAAGAATCATTAGAGGTAAAAATTACAGAGCCTAGTAATAACTGGATGTGAAGTATAAAGGAGGTGGAGGAGTCAAAGATTATACTGCAGTTCTTATCCTAAGTGGTAACATTTAGAGATAACATTTAAAAGAAATCTTTTCTAGTACTTTATCAGACCTTCACAGCAATTAACAAATGGTTTTCAGGGAGCATTAGAGCAAACCAAGTTCTGTAGTTGGAAACACTTTTAATGCTCCTCTGATTTCTAATGCTCCCCGAGAACCATTTGTTAACTTTTAAAAATAACTTTGTGTTCATATACATTATTTTAAAGTTCCTTAAAAATATTAATTTTAAAACTATTTTAGTAGTTTACTCAGAACATCCCAATTCCTCTGGATGAATGATATTTTAACATGCATTTGAATAAGAATATCTAAAAGAACCCCCCCATCAAAAAAAAGTATATGCAATATTCCACTGAGCTCCTATGAATAGTTAATAAAAAAGCAAGCATATTTCTGCATGAACAAGAGGTCAGTGTCACAGGCCACATGCTAATATGTGTGTCAGTAGATAATTATCAATCCACAAATTTTTAATCCTCAGCTTTCTATTACATGTCTGGGCTCTCTCTTAAGGTCGGCATTTAAAGTCATTTGGGGTCACTGTAATAATTTTAAAAGCAAATGTACCATAAAATTCTTCTATAATACATTTGAAAGCAAAAGAAATATTCAATAATTTCAATTGGATACTTTCTATTTAACAAACACTGGAGATACAAAGACAAATAAGAGACAACTTAGAAATTATTATATAGACTTTCTATTTTCAGTTAAACAGAGAACTGTGATTAAAGTGTTAATAAATTACGGATTTTATGCACAATAAGTATATTTCTAGGTAAAATTCCCAATTTATCATTTCCTGTTTTGAATAATTCCCACAAAACCATTAGAGCCTAATTTAGAATCCTAAATTAAAGATACATTTATCAGTTAAGTTAAATCAGAAACACTGAATTCAAAATGGAAAGCAGTTAAGAATTTTAAATGTATAAGCAAAATGTTTTTCCCACAGACTTTGAAAGAAAAAAGTCATTTTCTACTTCCATAAATACATTATGTTTTATAAAAATGTATTGTGTTACCATATACAACAGACCTTTATGAACTGCTCATACAATTGTTTGATTGTTTTCAGTCTCTGGCTCTGAACAAGTCTATATTGTTGAAAAATCTTTTGTTGCTGGCGAAATATACTCTACAAATATAAAAGAAAAACTATAATAACAATTTGAATAAAATTTTAAAATTAGCAAAAAAAAATCTACATTAAACTTAAAATAGTTTTAAAATCAATACTTTTAATTTGTTTTAACAACTGTAATGACTAAGTTTAGATAATTTGTGTTCACCACTAATATGCAAGAACATAATAGTACTACCAGTCACTGAGTAGGAAATCTTAACAATATTCCATATGTCTTAATTCTTGGTGATTTTAATATCCACAGAGATAATCCTTCCAATAATTGTGGTCTTTCAGTTCCTTGACCTATTCCTCAATAAATTTGTCCTCTACCCAACTTTAGCCAATTTACTACATACTCATATTCTAGATTTTATCATTACCAATAACTAACCTCTACATAGTATTAATAATGGCAAACTTTCTATGAGATAGGTACTCATTATTCCCCTTTCATAAATGAGGAAACTGAGGTATAAAGGTAAATAATTTGTCCATGGTTTCACAGCTAGCAATTGCTTAAACCAGAATTTGATCCTGAAGAGTATATTTCTAGAGTCCAGCCTCTAACCATTATATATATGAATATTGTTTCTCCACATATAGTATATATATGAATACTGTTTCTCCATATATAGCTGATAGTATTTGACTACTATCTCCTTACTGTTCTAGCTTACTCTCTTTCATACTACAGTTCTATAATTTACCAGGATCTAAAATCCATTCATTCTACCTACTTTTCACCATCATCCCTACCCCTATGTTCTCACTTTCCTCTTTCCTGGCTTAAATTCTACGGTTAATCATTACTATTACTCCTTTGTATATACACCCCCTTCTTATTCCGTCACACGTGCTTGGCTAAACCCTAACCCTGGAAAATCCAACTCTCCGGCTACTCTGCCTGGAGGCAAGACCTTTTCCACCATCTGATAACCTTATTTCATTAATAATTAGAAGCAATCCAAAGAGAACTTTTGAGTCTTCCATCACCATATCTACCATCCACCTACATCTATATACCTTCTCTCCTGTTTCTAAGGATGAACTATCCTTGTTCTTTGCTAAAGCTAACTTTTTCACATGCTCTGTACATTCTCAAGAATTCAGCAATTGTCCCCCCTTTCCATTATCTTTAATTTTTCCTTCCATATTATTCCTATCAACATACAAGCATGCTATTTCTCCAATGTTTAAAAAAACAAAAAACACGACTCCTTTTCTCCTCAGGCTACAACCCCCATTTCCTTCTCTCCTATTCTTTGTTATTCTCATTTCAATCAGACTTTCACACTCACTTTTCCACCGAAATCATTCTGGTCCAGGACAACTACCTCCTCATGTCCAAATCCACCTCATTTGTCCTTTAAGCAGCGTATTATAGAGTTAATCTTCTTTCCTTCTTAAAAGGCTTTCTTCACTTGGCCTAGTGTGGTCTTTCTACCTGTCACGCCCCTTTTTTCAGTCTCCTTTTCTAGTTCCTCATCTGGAATTCTAAATATTGAAATTCTTTAGGGCTCTGTTCCTAGACTACTCTATTACACTTACAAACACTCCCTTGGTGATCTCATCCAGTCTTCATTGCTTAAATACTGTTTTTATGCTGAGAATTCTCAACCTCTATCTTCAGCCCATCTCTGTCTCCTGAACTCCAGAGTCTCATACCAGTGGTCTAGTCAACATATCTCTTTGGATGTTTCATGTGCATCTCAAATTTAACATTTTCAAAACTGAGCTGAGTTTTTTATTATCTGAACCCAAAATTATTTGATAAGAACATTACCTCAGCTCTTAGGTAAGAAATGTTTGGTAATTACAAACAATGAAAGGATGAAATAAAAAGGTAGTTAAATGCAGTTAGACAACATACAAGTGGGGCTGACTTCCACTTCCCATATGGATGGCAGGTAACACAAGCCTAGCCATTAAGAGTAAATCAGTCATCCCTTGGTATCCATGGGAAGACTGGGTCCAGGGCTTCCCACAGATACCAAAGACCCAAGGACGTTCAAGTCCTTATATAAAATGGTGCCGTATTTGCATATAACCTATGCACATCCTTCCATATACTTTAAATCATCTCTAGATTACTTATAACACCTAATACAATGTAAATCCTACATAAATAGTTGTTACACTGTATAGTTTTTATCAGTATTATTTTTTATTGTTGTATTTCCTTTCAAATATTTTTGATCAAGAGTTTGTTGAATCCACAGTGTGGAACCCTCGGATACGGAGGGCCAACTGTACAATGATTGATTCAGGAATGGGCAAATAATACAGTCTAGATCAGTGATATTCCTCCAGAGAATTTTCTGCCAGAGCTATTGAGAAAGATTGTCTTGGTCTACTGAGGTTACTAAACTTGTAGTAAGTCTAGGATTGCAAGAACTATCTTGCTTACTACATTGAGCTTACTGGGAATTGGTAACAGACCTGAGATGACACTACATGAGCAACCCTTCCATATCTCTATCCAGCTGTGCCTAAAGCTAAACTACCCTCAACTTATTTTATATAAACCAATAATCCTTCTTTTGTACTTTGACAAATTTCTGTCACTTGGAAATGCAAGAATCCCAATCACTATATGAAGCAAGTGCTATATGAAAGACCAATGACTTTTATGAGTATAGTATGTGCCTATACGTCTGTGTTTACAGTTCAACAGGACTAAAACACATAGCCAGCAATGGGTAATGGAACCTGGGTTAGTTCCATGGGTCTAAGAAAAGGCTACTCCATTCCTACTTGAGATGTGGTTATAACAGGTTAGTTATAAAGCCAATCACGATACCAACAGTTAGTTTTTCTTCTTGTTCCTCAGCTTTATGCACATCCATTTCCCACTGCTGAAACAAAGTCAGAAACTGCTGAGAATATTCTTCGTTAAGCTTCTGCCTGTAAAATGTAGTAATGAATAGTGTCATATTTCATACCAATATGAAGAAAAACATTCCAGATAAATTGAGTTGACATATTTATACAAATAAAAAAGAAGGAAATAATAGCAGCTTAAATCTTCTGACAAGAAACCAAGAAGTAAAATTATGACTTATGCTGATTCCACAAGTATTTTTCCTAACAAGTTAACAGGAAATTCCTCTCACATGCTTTAGCTCTTGAAAACTAAGTAAGTTTTATGGTATATATGAATTTTCCAGAAAAATTCATCTTATCTCCAAGCAGTTTATTTTTTATACTGATATGACAGATTAAATGAAGTTATTACATTTATCATATAAGATTTCTGAATAGAAATATTTCACTTAATTTTTCCCCCATTTTGGCACAACAAAGATATTGCACAAAAGAATAGTTAACTCTACTTGAGTTAGCTTACTTGAGTTAACTCAAGTAAGCTAAAATATACAAATTATTTACAATGTAAGATTGACCCTTTTCTCCACTGCTGAATGTAATTAACTAGCAGAAGACTAATGGTTTCTATGAAATTTACCTTTTATTCAACTATTGTATTTCTAGAATGAACAAAAAATTACTTTTATAATTTAAAAAACCCTCAATTGTTATTTAAAAGGAGAAAAAAGTAATCTTTATTGATTTCCAGGAAATATATTTCAATTCTATGAAGGAAAGAGGTTATGACTAAAGAACTTACTTGCTAAGAGAAAAACCAAGCCAAATATATTTTCAATACAGACCCCAATAAATACAGAAGATGACAGTATTTTTCATAAGTAATTTGCACCAGTGAATACTAAGAAATGATACCAATATTTGTGGCTCTAAAAAAACCAACAACCTTACCTTTGCTCTTGTTGTGTTTTCCAAACATGTCCAATTTTCTGGTTACTGGTTTTGAGAGATGCCTTGGTGTACATTTCCAGTCTTTTTCTCTTGGCATAAAGAGCCTTGTTAATGTCAACTATATTGAAAACAGATATTAAGTAAAATTTAATGTTGAAGAGAATTATTTTGTCCCCATTATTCAAGTAAATATGGGTAAAGTTGGTTCAACAATATCAGAAAGACAATTAAAATTAAATTTAAAAATAGGCATAATTTTAAAAACAAATTAATTCACCCACATACACACACACACACAAAAAAAAACCGGGGGGG